AGTGACTGCCTTTTTCTGGCTTTTAGACAGCTACAAAACACTAATTTTTACTCAAAATGCCACCCTGGATTAGCTGGATCCAGTTCTGCACCTTCACTCACTCACACTCTGAGCCAAGTCCACAAGTGCAGGAGCTGCTCAGCTCTAAGGAGTAAGCGGGGCTTCATAAATATTATGGAGAACATTATTCACAGGAACTTTCATGTGACTGGAGAGACACAGGTCATTTAGTTGCTTCAGAGTGTTCCTAGTGATATCAGTAACAGTGAGAAGAAAGCAATTTAATGTTCAGAATCATAAAGGAGCCCTTAGAGTCCTCTTCTGGTACACTCAGGGGTTTTCTGTGTGGGCCTGCTCTTGGGCCCAGAGGGGCTTCCTGAAATCCTGAAATACCCCCTGTCTGCTCTAGCAAACATATGCGCAAGTCTGAGTGGGGCACAGAACATAACTCAGTGTTTGTCATGCATTTCATCATCTACACAAGCTCACAAAACACACAAACACACTTACTCTGTGTCAAATGAGTATCTCCAATTGTTCTGACCTGAGATGTGCAATTTCCGCAGAGCAGTTCCTCATAGGGATCATCACGGGAACTGTGCCACTCCAAATGATGTTTGTATTTATAAGGGTTTGTTTAATAACCTCTGAAATTAAGCTGATGAATCGCTACAGTGGAAGTCACTACGCATGAGGGAGATTTGAAAAATTATTCTTGCTTACAATCTAGCAAAAAAAAGGTATTTTGGAGTGAAATAAAAGCCTTATTAATATGGTCAAAGAAATATCAAAACTTATTTAAATAAAGAGCAGTGCCTTAGGTTCAAGTGATTGCCAGGAAGTCAATTACAAAAACATGTAATCAAACAGAGTCTGTCTACTCCAGATTGTGTGGCATGTGCTGCATGCTTGACTGATCTATCTTATTTCAGTCATTTAAGGTCATTACTCTCTGGCTAACAGGCAGCAAGATGCTTCCAGGTGGGTTCTGTACAGGTACTGATGTCTGCTGTCTTCAGCTTTGCTAGGTAGAACACAACACACTACACAATAGTGGGAGATGTGAAAACAGCTTCATTTTTTGTTACACCATTATAAACTCCTGTCTTTGGTGTATATGGTTTGCATCAAACTGCAGTGGTTTTGCTTAAAAAACAAAACAAAATTTGGGAAAAAAAGAGAAAAAACCACCTTTACAGATGTTAAGTGTAAATTTAACTACAGATAAATCCAGTAATGGCTAAAATCATTAATGTAATGCAGAGCTCTGGCTGAATCCATCTTAAATGCTTTCTGAGTTACTCTGACCATCTCCTTTAACCTCCCACCTTCTCCTGTAACTCTGATTTCTCACTCAGATTTCCTTACAGTGTCTCCTCTGGGCAGGCACCACAGCCCTTACTTCGAGAGGCTCTGGTAGAGGCTCTCAGGATCCTGAGTGTCAGTCCAGCCCTCTCAGAAACTCAAATGAAACATTTACCCACCTATTTCAGCTGATGGACAAACAGCATTTACCCCAGGATGCAGCACCAGGTTATCCTTAGGCATGTAACTGTTGAAGTAAGCCTATGCTAATGCTAATTTTGCTTAAAGAGGAGGTGAGGGGGGGAACCTGTATAAGCCTATCTGGACATGATTATGAATGAATTCTGATCACATTTTCTACAACGAGATAAATGACTTGGGATTTGAAAGCAGATGCTTTTAATTACTGATTTTCTTTGTTTCGTGGGGCTCAGTGCCGCACCTGTACATTGTTCTTTCTGGACAGATGTACTGATGCCCCTTTTGCGTGCTCAGATCCATAACACTGAGATAAATTATGAAGGGTTCTTGGCTTCCTCCATTGAAAATGTTTTCAGCTGTCAGAGATATCTGTTTCTTGTTACTGGTTTTAGTGCTTTTGAAGGGAAGACTAAACCACTGACTTGTGTATTCTGTTATAAATGAAGAGTATTCTCCACTGGAATCCACAGAGAATGAGGGATGGATCTCCTTGGTCTGTCAGGAAGTCTGTGCAGGTATTTAGTTCTCCAAAGCACTTCTAGAGAGTTAAAGTTTCTTTCCTACAAAGATCCTAATAGCATATCAGTTCCTAGTCCACTGAATTATATGAGCTCCTAAACTTAAATGAAAAGATTAATCAATAAACAAGATTAATAAGAATCCGACATAAGTGGCTAAGACACCTAATTGTCTCCTAAAGTAACGAGAATTAGGAGCACAAATGTGTTTTCCTACCTGGCCTGGATCCTGGCAGCTCAAAGAGACAGCACAGGAAAGAATCTCCCCCATATAACTGACAAGATTTTACCCTGTGTGTTTAGTTTCAAGCTTAAAAATATAAGGGATTTCAAATCTGGTGTACCCTGGCTGAGCAGAAGGGAGGCTCTGTGTACCTCATGTTACTTGATGTAAAAAGAAGTGAAGGACTAAGTTTTTAACAGAGAACTCTTTACACTGAAGTATTCCTGTGGTATTTGAAATAACAGGTGCTAAGAAGCAAGCAAACAAAAACTCTGATGTTTAAGCGCCCTGATTAAAATGTCTCTTTTCACTTGATAGTTCTTAAATCCCATTTCTTGTGATTTTCTGGGGGGGCCAGTGTCACTTCAGGGGGGTCTGGCCCCTGGTTTGAGCTGGCTGCAGTTGGCTGGGGAGAAGTCCAGGCAAAGGGAGTTGTGTGAGCCCTTCCCTCTCACCTTGCTTAGAGCTAATCCTTTATATTAAAGGCTCACCAGATTTGGCTCAGAGTCCTCATTAATCACCACCTCTGCACATCACAGATGCCTTAATCCCACTACTTCTTCATTTACTGGTGTGTTTACAGAGCAGAAATGACCTAAATTACCACAGGAATATTAAAAAATGGTTTCACTTTCCTTTCCCTTGGAGACACATCACCCTCCCAATCAAGCCATTATTTGTCAGTGCCCCAGCTCCTGCTGGGAACAGAAGCGCTGTTTGTCACAGCAGCACAAGTGACAGAGAGCCTCAGTCACACACACAGGGATCATGTTCAGGTCCTACAAAGTGACCTTGTTGGGCCATTGCACTAAATTGGTGCAAATCCCAAACTTGGTGCCACCACTCAAACTCACTTAACTTCAGTCAGATCAGTTTCATTAAAGCTGATAATTTATCACACTGAATATTCTAAATTGCAATTTACACAGATAGTCTACAAATGAAACTAAGTACATTTTTAGATGACTTAGATAATAACAGCTAAAAAAATAGTAGAAAGGAAGCCAAATGCAACATTCACCCAAGATTTAATACTAAAAGCTGTTTTTTCTGTCCACACTCTGCTACAAACCAAAATAGGCTATTTTTGCAATGGGCAAAATGAAACCCAGTTTGACATTATACATGGCAAATGCTACAAGAAATGCTAAAATAAACCTTTGCTACCTGAAATAAAATATAAATATACATTTTAACCTGGATCATGCCAAGCCCACTTTCTGCATGCTGAAGTATTTCTCAGCCAACCACTTTTAGCTAAATTAATATCAATATAAGTAGATTTTTTAAGTGTAGCATACACTTCATTCCAGAATTTGAAAAAATGTGCTCCATATTGAATAAAGCCAGTATAAATACATTTGGTAATGAGGTCAGATTTTGTTAGAACATTTTCAAGTGAATTAGATAATTTTGTCAAACTATTTAAATGTCTCAGCAAACCATTTGGGAAAATTGACTGCTGCACTTGGTATTGACTTTGGCAAAAGACAGTGTAACATAGGGCTTTTTTGTTAAAAAAAAAGAAGAAAAAGCCTTTAAATCAAATTCTGAGTCTCATGTCAAACTTGAGTAGACTATTTGTACTCTGCCTCATGTAATTTTTGGCATCTTGCACATTTGATGACTCAGTAATTAGATTTCTTGATAGTAATCACTTGGTTCCTGCCACATGCACGATGTGATCCAGCCTTGTCATGGTCCCGATCCACAGAGCGGGAATTCTCTGCGTCTGCTCACACCCGAATGCTGAGACAGCTGAGAAATGAGGCCAGAGCAGCCCCTGTGTGTGCCAGAGCTGCAGCAGTGCCCAGGGAGGGAACACTGGGAGGGGTTCCCTTCCCACTGCAAACCTCGTGTACGTTCCAGGAGGGGTGGCACTGCCCCGAGCTGGCCAGGGGGAACAGCCCTGGAATCCAGGGCTCCAAGCATGAGAGTGTTACGTGATTTTGCCCAGTTGAGTGGATGGGTGCTTTAAACAAAACTCTGCTAAATGAAACTCAAGGACTATTAATTAGTTCAAACAAAGTTTCTGCACTTGCAATTAAGATGTCAGGTACAGACTGCATTTCAGCAGTCATGAATAATGTATAAATGAATAAAGCATTAAATACAGCAGAAGGATCTTGGACTGGGAATGACAATGCTGAATGAAGATTATTTTGAGTTTAGAAAATGGTATTTGAGATGCTGAAAAATTCCAAGTAACTATGTCATGCAACTGGATGCCCTGTTTTAAAATAACTATTCAGAAATACATTCCAGTCTCCATTCCCTGATGTTTGGCTCATGGTTATCTGTTATCTAACTCCCACATTTTGTCATAGGATATTTGGGCAAAGACTTTACTTAGGTACACGAGCAGTGAGATAAGAAATCAGCACTGCTGTCTCCAAGAAAGAATCTGCACTGCTCTAAAGCTGGAATTGGCAGAGACAATTCTGATGGAAACTCTGGTGTGTCTGCAGCAGCTGAGTGAGAGGCTCAGCCCACTGACCATGGTGCTCCTGCTGGAAGTGCTGTGCTCTGGAATGGAGACACCAGGAATGAGAATTCATCTGGGAGCTTTCAGACACTCAAACTGGAAACTTGTCTGTTGCCCTCACCATGGTCAGGCCTTTGCTTTCATTTCTTATTAGAAGCACCAGAACACAAAGTGCCTTAGAAACAAATCCACCTTCCTGACAGCTTGCTAAATCCTTCCCAGAGTATATCCTTACTTTATTTCATTCTTGATTTTTTGCCTCCCCTAGGAATCACCTCCAAGAGGAAACAGCTGAGCAGCACACTGGGAGCAGACAGAGGGAGGGATCCCACTCCAACAGGCTCAGGTCATTCTCTAGGGAAAGAACAGCTCATGGATGACCTTCACTTTGGAATGTCTGTCTCCATTCCTCTGATTTGCTCTACTGCCTTCTCTGCTACAGAAAACTTCCTGTTTATCCGGAGTAATTTCCAGTGCCTCCTGCTGGCCACGACTCTGCCATGGGAATGAGTGTGCCAACAGGAAATACAAGGTCGGGAATGGGGCAGGGCAGGGAAGGGCTGGCACAGGCATTTTATGGGACAAGGACAGGATAAGTCCATCCATCATCCTGGGAGGGGGACACTGCTGCCCGCTACTGGCCGAGGTCAGAAGAGAAAGCTGAAGGAGCAGAGGGTACAGAAGCTCAGATTGCTGCAGAATTCCTTCCCCCATTAGGAAAATAAGGACTAATTTGCTCTTAATTTAATTTCCTCAATCAGATCGTTCTCCAATCACCCCAAGTGTAAATTTCCATATTGTACCTCTTCCATGCCACACACACTCTGCCTTCTGCCCTTTGCTTAAAATCTTTCTGGGCTTCCCTTGCCCCCATATGAAAAAAGGGAAAGGTCAATCACTGGATTAGGATGGGAAAATTCTACATTTAATTACTATGTTTGCTAAAGGACATCAACATGTTCCTTAGGAAAGAAAATCCTTTAATCTCTCTGTATATTAAATTCCCATCAGTAAAGCCAAATCAGAGTCTTTTCTCCATCCAAAGTGCCGGGTAGTAAAACTGTAAGTATGAAGTTGAATTTGCATGAGGCCAGGCACCAAAAAATATCTGAGTAAAAAGGTTAGAGCAGAGTTTTGTGGCTTGCAGAGATTCTTTACTGTTGAGAAGATGTTACGAGAGCCTCGAGCAAACGGTGCTTTAGAAGTATCACACCCTGTAGCCACGGAATCGTATCTGTGCTGTAGCAGTGCAATCCACACAGTCAGTGGGATTCAACACTCTCCCTGATTGGGATCTGGCTGGGTACAGCCTGCTGCTGAGGGGTGCATTGCACAAAACCTTATCAGAGAGCAAGGAAGTGAGAAAGCCCATGGCTCTGACACTGAGAGAGTCTTACTAGGGCAAACACAGCCTGATTCCTGAGTGAGTCATAGTTCGGGTTGTACCCTTTGAGAGGTTTCTCACATTAGCTGTGCAAAGTTCTCTGTGCTCATCCAAACCTATGAGAAGTCATCTAGCAAGAATTAAAAAACAAAATTAAAATCTAAATGTAACTGCATGCTAGGAAGAAAAAAAATCCCATTGTGTTTTGTCAAAGACAAGGACAAGGCCCTGAACAACCTGATAATGATGTCCAAGTTTGCCCTGCTTTGCACAGAGCATGGATGACATGACCTTCTGAGGTCCCTTGAAAACTAAATTATTCCATGAGTCTAAAACAAACAAAATTGCTTCGTTTGGGCCAGTGTTTTCTTTTGAACACCATCCATGCAAAGTAAAATAAACAATTCATCATCCATTATCATGCCAGACACGGGCCCAGCACGTTTCACATCACACACGTACCCGTCCCTGGCACTCTCCAGCGGCGACTGGTGGTGATGTGGGCTGGCCAGGGCAGAGTCGAGGGGAAGGTGCCTTGAAGGAATGTCATGAGGAGGCGGCAGCACAGCTGGGGAGGGGCCGTTGTGGTTGGTGCTGGATCCACTGTACATGCCTGGGAACACACAGCAGTTGGCAAAACAAAATAAGCAAGGAAGCATCAGTGAGACCTGTGGAGCCTCCAACTCCTTCCCTATCCCCCACCTGACCCTGAGCCCCTGTGTGTCAGTGAATACCCCTGGGCCTGAGCAGCACTCAGAGCTGTGCCATGGTACTTTGACATGTGAGTGTCTCCTCTCTGACCCTCCCAGGTGCTCCAGGTGTTCCTGGACTCTACAGAACTGTAGAACCCTCCTGACAGCCACGAGGGCTTGGTGGGACTCCCAGCCTGCCTTTTGCACAGCTGTGAGAGAGAACCTGCAGAGCTCAGGGGATGGAGCTCACACAGCAAAACAGACCATGGTACCCCAGGGTTTTGCTGTTAATTTCAAACTCTCTGATTTGACTTTCCATTACTAAGCTACATCCCAAGCCATTTACAAACATCACACATTGATACAAATGAAACCCCAAAAAATTAAACAGAAAGAGAAACAAGGAAAATTTTTTAATGAGATCATGAAAACAGGTTCACTAGTGCAGAATTACTGAAGGAGTGTGGATGTACCATTTTTGGGGACTCTTCTCTACCATGGCAACAAGGCACCAACAGCCAAGTCCTATGTGTTCTCAAACACACCTGGTGTTGAGGAAGCTTTGTCTGGGGCTCTTGGATGAAGATGTTGGAATTAGATTTTTTTCTCCCTTCCTGAAGAGGGACCATGCACCAAGACAGGAACTGCCTGGGCTCAGGGCCCTCGTGCCAACTTTTGGTGCGAAGGCTGCGCTGAGGGAAGGTCTCTGTGGTGACAGACAGCACAGGAGTGCAACTATGGAGCATGCAAATGCCACCTTATGGCAGGGGAAAAGGGCTCCTCTTCAAGTTTTGCCCACAACACATCTGCCACAGTTCTGTCTCACCCTCCCAGGAAATGTGCACATGGATAAGATCCAGAACTGCCACTCACACAGTGACCTGAAGGCTGTGAGCAGCAAGTGAGGTCTCCCAGCCCCCACAGTGCCCAGCTCTAGAACCTGAGACCCCACACTCCCTCTGGGGCCTTTCTTTGCCATCTCTCCTCCTGTACCATTCATCTGTTCTTTCCCACTCAGTGTGTGCAGAGCTGCACATCCAGGACAGAGCCATGTGCCAGCTGTGCTCTGCCCTGTCCTGTGTCCCTGGCAGGGCTCTGGACTGCACCCCTCCCAAAGCCTCCCAGTGACACAGAACAAGCAGAAGGCAACACGAAAATCCAGAGCTTTGGGGAATGTGTGACACCCTTGGGGTGGGAGAAGCAACATCTGAATGTCAGCATCTGTTTCTGTGTGTGACTGAAGAGCAGAACCACTGAGGCAAGATTCCAGCCACCTTTGTCAGGGGCTTCAGATGAGTCAAAAACCCCTCATGAACAATGAGTCCTCAGCTGCTGACAGATCTAAAGCAACAAAACTGAACCACATCATCTCTGTCTCCAGCTAGACAGAACATTTGTCAACCAGCCAGTGAAAACAACTTGCTTTCTGCACTGCACACCAGACAGAAGGGGCTTTAAGAAGTCAGATGTTCCCAGGTGATGCAAGGATTTATTTGTCAAAGCCTCTCTGGTAACAGTAAGTCAGTAGCAAGGATGCTGCATTGTGGAAATGCTTTTCCACTGGTGGCTTCAGTCCATTTCTAATACAACAGTTTCCACTTCCCTCAGATCCTCACTGTTAATACATTAGTTGTCAGGCTTGAAAGATGAGCCAAATTTGACCTCGACTGTTCAGTGTCATTTTGCACTTCAGCTCTATTTCCCACACCACTAGTTTAGGTATATTGAAAGCACAGCCTGGAGGGAACTGCAGAACCTAAACCAAGCTGTTCATGCTCTAAGGCTCCCACACTGCTGGCCCTAACTTGTGCAAAATGCTCAAAAGCCCTCAAAAAAAGTCATCTTAGCAGTGTGGTGGCCAGGAAACACTTTATGTTTTATCTTTCAATCCCACCCGTGAACAGTTCATGGATGCTTCGGATGTCTCTCTCCTGGCCTGTTCCTTGAGGTGATGAGAATTACAGAGTAGCTGAGTACCTACAATCACCATAACCCTCTAGAGGAAAGAAAATATTTAAAATACTACCCCACAATCACTTAAAGTAAATATTAAAAAAACCACCCTACAACTCAGGGGCAGCAGCCAAGTCCCACATGATCCCTGCACTCAAACCCATCACAACAGAAACCCGAAAGAAACCAGAATCCCTGTCACCCCCAGTTTCTGCCACCCCCAACCCCTCTGCAGAGGAGTTTACCCCTCTGTGGAACTGCTGGGGTGGGCACCCAGTGCCCACTGCTGGGCTTGGAAGAGTTTCTAGCTGGGTTTCTCCCAGATCTGATCTCCCAGATCCCAGATTTGACTCAGGGAAAAGGTCCCTGTGACCCGAGGCTCGTAGGGTTTGTCATCAGTGAGTTCTCCTCTCCCTCCCTCTCAGTGCAGCTCCACTCATGAGTCTGGCACGTGGTGTCCCCACATCCCCCAAACCATCCACACCACGCCCTGTGCTGCCTCACCCCAGCTCCCTCCCATGGACAAAAAAGTCAAGGGGGGAAGAGCAGTTGCTAATCCAGTCTCAGTATAATTTTCAGTACTTTCAGAATTTCCTTCCTTTTACAGTTTTTTTCCCATTTTTTTCAGCACTGAGCACTAATATTCTGTGTACCTGAAATCCCACAGAAGCCCCTGGAGCTGTGAATGACTCCTGCAAGTGCAGCCCACGCCAGGCCTGTGCACCTTGGGCCTCTTCACACATTGACCATCTCAGCTTGTAAACAGAAGTCATCAATCAGTTCTTTAAATGGCTTGGCCTTTCACCTTAACATCTGTGGCCAAAACAGTGCTCTGAGCATCTGTGACCAGCAGCCTTTTCCCTCTCAGCTTTATGCTGAGAGCAGTCAAACAATAATAAAACCCAGAGAAAACGCCTGAGTGGGACCAGAGTGATAGAAACTCTTGTCCACAGGCAGAGTTAAATGTGTGCAGCCATGAAGCATCTTAGTTATGAGGAGGGAAAAAGGAGGAAGACCTCAGCAAACAATGGGTTCCTCTGACTGCAGAAACATTCCTCTGCTCACTGTCTTACCTGCTTTGAAGTTAGACACAAGGGATGGGGCCTTTTTTAATATTTTGGTTTTTTCTGTGATGGGCTTTCATCCCTGACATATTTAAAATGTGCTTTACTTGGAAAAAGACAAAACTGAAATTCTCCAGGAATCCAAGTGATCCCTAAAGCCCAGAGCTCTGCACATTAATAATGTGGTTTCTTTGAAAAAAACAACACAAAAACCAAACTCCAAAACCCAAACCATGAATGTTTTCATATTTCATATTTCAAGTGGAATATGAGGACATCATACATTGTATTTATCCATGTATAGCCTATATATACAGTATTATAGCTGATTTCTCAAAAAATATTATCTCAGCCTTTGGAAGAGCAAAGTGCATTCACTGCAGACTATAGGTGGCAGCAGGAATGTCCTTATGCTTTAATTCTGTAAGGATCAGCACTTTGGTTTATATGCCCTAAATAATGACAGAGGAACAGTTTTGCCTGTGGACTGTACTGCTCGTAAGATGAAGCAACTTCTGTTTCACTGCAAAACAGTCTTTCAAATCTTGATTTATTTTTCCCTGGCACTTGTTCATGCTGTGCATTGATGGGGTCTCATATGGAGCGACCTGATGGAAGTATCAGGGAAGATTTACAGGTTTTTTACAACATCCTGGTGATGGATTGATATAATCAGCACAGAAATCATATCGGACAAAGTCAGAGTTACAGACAGATAAAACCCTTCATTTCACAAGAGATTCTCTGAAATGACACTGAGAGGTTAGGGATGGTCTGTTTATCTGTGAGCTAATAACTCTTTTCCTGTTTTATTGTTGTCACTTGAAATCTGAGACTGTTTCTGAGGTTCTGAAGTGCAGCTTGTTCTGAGGAAAATGCCACTGCTCTTCCCTGCCCTGCCTGGAAGGGGGAGGCCAAGCCATGCTCCAGCTACACGGGGCTGTCAAGGGGACAGCACAGGCCACATGCTGCCCTCACAGACCTTATTCAATGCAGGTGGCACAGGCAGAGACTGGAAACAAACCCCAAATCCCTCCAGCTTTCTCCAGTTTTCAAGGAGCCACATGTAAGCCCAGAGTGCAGATTGATTCCCAGTGAAAGCACATCACAATGATGGGGTATTTCCCTTTCTACTCCGTTTTGTTCACCAGTTACATTCCAACATTTTAATGCAACTTGAACTAGAAAAGAGGATAGGAGATGTCAGGAAAAATGATTTTTTGTTTTGAAGATTTGGAGTAACCAAAACAAGTAGGAGATTCTTGAGAAGGCAGGTTACAATTACACTGCTGGCCTTTGGGAGTGCCTCTCTCTGCTGCCTGAACACAGAACCTCAAAATGTACATCCCTGATTCAGGATCCTCTGCTGGGGTTCAAAAACTGTGACTCTAGATCTTATTTCCCACAGAAGGGAATGGAAGCCTCTTTTTCTCTTCCTATAAAATGTATACAAAAGTCTAAGGTCCCTGAAAATGGCCAACTCTTGTTCAAGCCACAAGAGCAAAAGCAAATATAGAAAGAAAGAGGAAATAATGGAAAATATTACCAGAAGGAGGTTTGGCATTTCAAATTCAAGTTCTCTCCCCACTCATGTATCACCTTATTTTTTGTTATGATCCAAAGTGCATCATAACACTCAGCCTCATCAGCTTTCCTGCAGTTCCTGAAGGAAGCCCTGGTGCTGGGAGCGTGTGCCAGAGCATCCGCCTGGACTTAGCACAGCTCCTGCACCTG